AAAGGCTAAGTAAAGCAAATGATAAAATTACTTAAAATCAGGAATGATTAACTTTTATTTGATGATAACATATTTGAAGGAATGCTTATGAATTATTTTTATCCCAAATTTCCTACTTGGCTCATTTGAATATCTTTCAAATCGTTTGTTATCTACTTGGCTCATTTGAATATCTTTCAAATCGTTTGTTATCTACTTGGCTCATTTGAATATCTTTCAAATTGTTTGTTACTTCTAGCCATATACTTGGCTACACAATCATAAACATTTAGTAGAATAGATTTAGATACCGTATGATCATATTTGCCAAATGCGCATTTATTTTTTATTTTTTTTTTATATTAGCAAGCGTTTTTAGACATTATTGTTTTAACTTATACATCAATTCATCAACAATAATACAACATTTCAATTATTTATGCCAATTGTATTTCAATAAATTTTTGTTTTAATTAATTAAATTAATTTTTTTAAGTAAATAATTTTACTATCATTGATGAATGTAAATATAATTGAGATTTTTATGATATTGAAATTTTGTCAACATTTGTCGCAAATAAACACAAAAAATTTTGCATAATAAAAAGGAAATTAATAGAAGTTTACAAATTTGTATTAATTAAATTGAATCATGATAGTATTTGATAATCATCCAAATTTCTTTCATTACTGTAAACGATTATACGAATGATGTTAGCATAGAATTTTGTATATGTGATTGTTGTTATTTTACAATGTACGCTAACAAATAGCGCCAAATCATCGTTTGCTAACAAACAAAGAGCGCCAAATCATCATTTGCTAACAAACAAAGAGCGCCAAATCATCGTTTGCTAACAAAAAGCGCCAATTCATGCAATCATTTATTGAATCACATCTACCAATGAAATATATGTATGTATTTATATAATATATATTCTTCATATAATAGAGATAATATTCCTTTTCTTCTTTTTTTCTTTTTACTTTTTATTAAAGTTTTTAAATTTTTATTTTGTGATAGCATTTTGGTAAATTAATTTTATTTTGTTAAATTTACTTTAATAATGTTTATTTTTTCTCATCTAATTAATTTAATTACTCAAATTTGAGATAAAAATAAGGAGAAATTTTTACAAACTTTGATATTGAGTTATGCAAAATTTCAAGAAGAAATTGCAATTTTCACTTAAATATTTGACGCAATTAGGACAGATTAATGATTGACAAATGAATGTGACAGTAAAATATCAATACATTTCTCTTGAAATTATCAATGTTATTCTTTTTAATAAATTCATTGGAATGGAAAATAATTCGAATTATTTACTTTTAGATGAAAGTGATATCTTTTGGTAAGGTAAGTATAATTGTAAGGTATATTACTGATCAGTAATATTTGTAATCTTTTTCTTTTGTTTGATAATATAATTAAATTTTGCCTTTTTTATCATTAATATATTGGAAATGATGAACAGGATACTGTTTAACAATAATTTTCTGCTTGGTATAATTGTTGCTGCTTTATCCAGGTAATATTGGAAATGATGAACTCATTGGAATTCCATAAATTAAATATTCTAATTTATGGAATATCATGTAAAACGATATTTTGTTTTAAATCAAAATGATTGGGATAAGTATCATATGAGCTAACAACCATTTAAATCGAAATTTATTGATTAAATAAGGAAGAATTTATTGATTAAATAAGGAATAAGGAAGATTTCCTCATTTTTTCCTTGATTTATGATAATTTTATTACCAAATTTAAAATCAGATGATAATATGGAAATGGAAAATTCGAAATGTTCCAAAATAAGACCACAATTTAAGAAAAAAAAAGAAAGCTTTTTAATAGTGATAATATCACTAATCTTTTCCAACAAAACAAAATTAACTTGAATTATGATTGAAATTAAGGATAGAAATTATGAAAGGAATCAAAGATCGGCAGTAGTTACAGTAAACGATTAAAGCATAAATGTAATGAAAGTTTTAAAAATTCTTAGATGAAAGAAATTAATTATATGATAAGTGAATGATTCATGCTTAATGTATCCAAGTGATTTCAAAGAATTACCAAACAATTAACTTTCAATTTAAAAGAAAAAAATAAATTTACGAAATTAGAAGAGAAAATTACTGATAAGACAATACAACATATTATGTTATCATTAAAATGATTATCATGTTCTTAACATAGTTCGTAATTTAATTGCCTCATAATTTGACCAAACACTTCGATCAGTGAAAAATTCCATTCCGGTTAATAATTCGATATCACGCATTCGAACTGCATTATCATGAAGATATTCCGGAGGATCCTGCAGAAAAAAAAAAGAAAACCTGCTATGAGATAAGCTGTATTAGTGATAATAAGCTTAATTTAAGAGTAAATTTCAAAACTCTTTTTAAAAAAAAACCTAATGATTTTTTCTATTCAAATTTTTTAATATAATAATTTATCGATTAGTTACTACGTTAATGTTGAATATATTCGCGGTGTCTTTTTTTTTTTAATGAAAGTTTTAAACTTTCAATATGAATTGTACATTTGTTTGCAAATTACAATTTTTATTTGGAAGATAAAAATGATTAAAATTAATTTGTCTCCGAATTTTTTCAATTATTAATTAAATTATTTTAAATTAATTGTTTAATTTAGTTGACCTTTTTTCATATTCTAATTAAAGCTATATGGTTTTTTTTTTTGTTTTCCTTTTTGACATACATAAATTATCATACCAAACAGTTTAAATTACTGTCTTTAAGTGGTAATATATATGGATGAAAGATGATATCCTTGCATAAAGTATAATCAGTTAGTGCACTATTTGCGCACCACATAAATACAAAGAATAAATGTGATGGATTACCATCTCTGAAATGATATGATAAAGTATGAATAATAGTTTGTATATATTGTTGAATTAAATGTAATATGAAAAGAATTCTTTATTAGGTGACAATTTATGAACCTGATTTGATCATCACTGTCACGTACACCATCTCCATTTTGATCATATATTGGACCAGAAAAGAATCGCATATTACCATATTTAGTTAGATATTCAGTTATTGTACTTAAAATATATTGCCATATTCCTGAAAATTTTTTTAATTTTAAATTTAGCAATTTAATTTATTATGTGTATATCTTCTTTTTTAATTATTTAATAATTCCATCAATTAAAGATGACAGTAAATGATGAGACAAATCTAAATTAGCTAGACAACTTTAATTAGCTAATTTTGTATAACTTACCATCAGAAAAAGCTTTTGGCACAATCATTCGTGCTAGATCCAAGGTATTATAACGATCTGAAACAACATTTGTGGGTACAACAACAACAACAACAACAACAACAAACAAGGACAAAAATAACAACAACAACAACAAACAACAACAACAACAAACAACAACAACAACAAACAACAAAAACAACAACAGCAAATAACAACAACAACAAACAACAACAACAACGACAACAAACAGTAACACATTTCAAATATGAATAAACGAAAAAAAAATGATGTTATATTTAATGATTGGAACTATCTAATGCACAATTATGGTTTTTCTAAACATTACTTGCACTATAAACTATTTGATTAATTCATTACGTACTAAAAACCATTTAATTAGTTCGTTATGTAACCATTTAATTAATCCGTTATAAACCATATCATTAATTCGTTAATCAGTTTCCTGATTAAATTAATGACAATCTCAATCAAAATGATTTCAGTTTACTTAAAGTCTCCTCAAATAATCTCATCCTTGTTATTTTAGAAGTAACAAAAAGATAAGTTTACCAAGATTTCCAAATAACGAAATAACCGAGTAGCTGTCATTCTTTGGTGTTTCACATAAATTAATTTGCATGACATTTTCGATATAAGTTACACAATTTTCGCTAAAACAAATGATTATTTAAACATTAATGATAAATTTTAAATACATTTTTTGCTTCAATTGAAATATAGTTATTCAGAATCTTTGAAAATGAAATGATAAACTTTTCATTATATTAAATCTTACTTTGTTTTTTGCACCCAAATAGATTGCCTAATGATACCTTCTACCATAATTGTTTTTTGAAATTTTCTATCAAAATATATAATTGCATCACATAAGTTTATTCTGCAAAGTTCACCAGTAAAATGCATTTTACTAGCACTAATGGAACTGTAAAATATCATCGGACACCTCTGGTAGATATCATCCATTACCTGAAACATATGGAAATGTTAGAAAATCATTTAAAAATTGAACTGGTAAAAGAGGAAATACATATTCATGATCCTGATCCCTGATACATCATATATCATTTATAAACCTGATCCTGATCCTCGATACATCATATGTCATTGATTAACCTGTTCCTGTTCCCTGATACATCATATATCATTTATAAACCTGATCCTGATCCCTGATACATTATATGTCATTTATAAACATGATCTTGATTCTTGATATATCATATATCATTGATTAACCTAATCCTGATCCTTTATACATCATGTGTCGTTGATTAACCTGATCCTGATCCCTGACACATCATATGTCATTCATAAATCTGATCCTGATCTTTGATGTATCATATATCATTGATTAACCTGATCCTAATCCTGATACATCATATGCCATTTATAAACCTGATCCTGATCTTTGATAGATGATATGACATTCATAAATAGGAAAAAAAAGCCTATGAGAGATGTAAGGATCGATAATTTTAATTTGATTTTTAATAATGATATCCATAATTGTATACTTGATTTAAAGCTTCTCCTAAATAAAGTTCAATTCAATTGTTTCTTTTTTTTTTGAAGTCTTTATAGATAGTCCAAAAAAAAAAGAATTACCGGACAATTATGTGAGAAATTGCACATTTTTATATTTATCATATTAGTGCACTGATCTGGTGGATGATCAACAGCTGTCATTGGTATTGTTGGGAGAGTGCGAAGTACGTCAAATAGAGCACCATCAGTTCCATTATTTGGCGCGGCATCAATTCGTAATAAATCTTTATGAAAGATTAATCATGAAAAGCTTAATAAAATATTTGAATGATATAAATTGGAATTATCAGATGATTTTTACCAAAATAAAAATGGACCTCCCTAACATTTGATCATATGATTTTATCGTTATCATTATATTTTATAGATTATATTGATTGATCATGAATTAATCATTTGTTTGATCATATTGATTGATCTCTTAATAAAACGTTTGGATAATAAAGTTCGAATTATTAGATAATTTTACTAAAATAAAAATGAATCACTCCGATAAATTATCAAATGGATTTTGTTATTATCAGTAAATTTCATTGGTTATACTGATAAGCTTATTTATTTTTTCATCCAAATTAATTTTAATTCGTAAAATGGAAAACTTACATGCGAATAAGTTATAAAGTTCAATATTTTGAAAGCTATCAATCACCCGATTCATTCCAATATCCGGTCCAAAAGCAATAAAGATAGCCCGCATGCTATCAATTCGATTATCATAACCATGATCACCCAATCGAGTATATGATTCATTCTGTTCAGCAGTTCTAAATATTTGAAAAAAAAATTCCACACATTCTAATAATGTATTTTATGATTTTATTTTTATCAAATAATTTATCTTTCCTTTGAACTAATTTAATTAGATGACAAATTTGCTTTAAACTGATTCGATTAATTAGCACTATTAACGGTTATAATAAAAATTTACATAAGTATTTATTTAAATGCCTAACAAATGATAACAGTAAACATGATATGAATATATTAAATGATAAAATGATTAGAAAATGTTTAGCAATTTTAGGTAATTTTGAAAGTTTAATATCACTGGAAAAAAAAAAAGAAAATCACATACAAAAAAATAGACGTTTCTGGACGTGCGCTAATAATAATATCACCTATTCTTGATGAACCACCATAGTGAAATCTTATTGGTACCGTATCCTTTCCATACATCAAATAATTATTACCATGTTGACATTGCAATTTTGTCATTATACTACTTGTAATACTATCTGCATCTGAAAAATTATCATAAGAGCAAATATTAGTATGAATATATATGGGAAAGAAATATTTACAAGAAGTAATATTTACCAGATGAATGAATGGTACGATTAATTTGAATTCGAGATAATGCACCAGGAAAAAAGAATTGATTAAATTTATCATTCAAGTAATTCTCGATAACCACTGATTTCGTCTTTTCAATTTGTTGCATACCTGATTAAAAAAAAAAAAAAAATTAAAGAATATTAAAATAATACTACAAATACTTAAAAAAATTTACATAATTTGATAAATTCATAATTTTTTATCAAAATTGCATAAAATTTTACAAATTTAACATGTTACAAACGATTTAATTAATAAAACAAAAAGACATTGATAAAGATAAAAAAAAGAAATTGATATGAATAAAGGGAGAAGTTGATAAAGAAAAAATAAAAATAAAAAAAAAGAAATGATAAAAAGATAAAAAGAAATTGATAAAAACACTTATCTTTTATCAAGGCATCTGCCTTGGAATTTCTTCCTGCATTAAGTATTAAAATTAATGAAACTAATTATGAAAAAAAAACAAAGCAAGCGATTACTTTGATATATCTTTTCTTTCATTAATTTTAAAATTATCAAAAGTTTGAAATTTCCAAAAAACATACCATGATCAGAAACTATAATGACATTTATACAACCCATAAGACCTTGATCATCCAATCGTCTCAACAAATAATTAATTATTCCATCCGTTAAAATCAATGCCGTACGAACCTTTAATATTAAAATATAAACATGAAAATTTCCCAATTTAAATTATATTTTATTTAAATCAAATTTGATTTAATTAAAATTTAATCAAGCTTATTTCAAATCCAAATCCATCACTCGACCAGAACTATCAATGTGCATTGTATTCATTTCTGTTTAATTTCAAATCAACTGAATTAGCATTATTCGTTTAATTATGAACAATAAATTCAAGTAGATTACAGGTAAAATTACCGCTTGTGAATGTGGCCCATATTTATGGCCAGCAAGATCTGGTTCTTCAAAATAGACCTGGATAAGTGTTGGTCGCTCATTTTCTGGCAATTGTAGCCATTTAATTATCTGAAATTTCAATTTCGACAATTTCATTTCTTTTTTTTTGATTTTATTGAAGAACAGCTTTTATTTTCGTAATTTAGTGAAATTTTTAGTGAAATAATTATCAATTATTTAATTATTTGCCAATAATTACTTACAGTATCAACACGACTTGTGAATGGTGTAGAGCTATCGTATTTCATCCAGTAGTTGGGTAATTTTTCTGGAATATTTTCCGATTTGTAAAATTAGAAAAAGATAGATGAAAAAAAATGAGATCAATAAATGGATAATTAATATAAATTAACAATTTGCCTGCTAACATTGCATGTTTAAGTGTAATAGTAATAATAACATAAAAATTAGTGAATGAAACAACAGGTATGAACTGAGCGCATTTGTCGCAAAATATGCATGAAGTTTTCTAAATTATCGTAATTAATTAGAATATCTAAAAATTTTATTATTTAGATTTTTTTAGGATATCTAGTAGTTTTTTAGGATATTTAGTTTAATTATTTAGATTTTTTTAGAATATCTAATTAGAATATCTAGAAAAACTAACTTTAAAAGCATTTCTGTTATCTGCCCTTGAATAAATTATAATAGTCAAAAGTAATTTTGTAAAATTTCATTTTTTTTTCATATCCCATCATTTGTTACTTAAGACTTATTTCATACCTGAATTTTCACTTCCAGGCCAAAAAAATACTGCTGATTTTAAGCCAGCTTTTTGTGCTGTTAGCCATATCTAAATTTTTTAATTTTATTTAAATTAGCAAAATTTCGCATGATTTAATAGATGGTAATGAAAAAATTTACTTATCCATAGTATTTTGGTATTGTGATTGAAATATTTGCCCAGACAATGATGAAATTTCAATGTCAAAAAATTAGCATATTATTGGTAATTGAATTCTATATGAAATTTCGGTACTGCAAAAAAAATCAACGAAAAAAAAAAGCATTTATTTACCGGTTCTCCAAGATACCAACCAGGTTTTTGGGTACTTTTTTTGAAGAAAGCCTGAAATATGCAATATGTGAAAAATAATTCACAGCTTATTGGTTTATAACTAATTAATGTTAATGTTAATTTATAACTAATTAATGAAACTGCTAAAATTAGCAAAATTCAATTCGCATGCGGTAGGATTTGTTTTTGGATATTTTTGGTTATGGCTATTATAAATTGTAAAGTTCGAGAAATTGATTCATCAAGAAATAATATGTCACGTATTTGTACGTGAATACAATTAAGTTGAATTTGCAATAGCAAAATTTGAGAAATTAATTTGTCAAGAAATGATATATTACGTGTTCGTACGTAAATACAATTTAATTGTTATGAATTCATTAATCTTTAGTGGGCTTTTTTTTTTTAACTTCAAAATATTATTATTTAAATATAAAATAAAAAAAAAAAATCTTTACACCCAATTCTTCGTCATAAAAACGATTGTCAACAATCCCGTGCCAAGCGGGATAAAGTCCCGTTGCTATGGTATAATGATTGGGGAAAGTTTTTGAGGGAAATGATGGTAACATATATTTGCTATGTGTACCACAATAAAACAATGAATCAATTGCTGGTGTGATATTTTGCTCCATATAACTATTTCGAAAACCATCTAAGCTAATGATAAGTAATGGTGTTTTAGCAAACCTGAAAAAAAAAAAAATTAACCAAAATTATCCCATCGAATAATTTCCCGAATATTTTATCAATCATTGATTGTTTTTAAAAAGCTAACTGATAGGAGGTGAAAAACAAAAAAAAAAAAACCCGGGAAGAATGATCAATAATTCTGAAAAATTTTTGATTATTAATAATTTTAAAATACCAATTAATTTTATGATTCAAATTACTCACTTATATCTGCATGCATTTTGTTTGCAGCAATAAGAATTTGAAATAAACGCATCAACAACTCCTGGAAGTTTTGCTATCGAGATCACGAATATGACAGTCGTAATGATAAAAAGTGATGATACCATATTTCCCGCGATTTCCGATACTTTTCCGCTCCTTTCTTTTGTATTCATTGAAATCTGTTCCATTAAATTGTGAACAATACATTTCTATACTTGTCTTTTGAAGGTAATCTTCGATAATATTAAAATAATTTAATTAAATTTTTTTCTTTTTTAAAGTTAATTAATGAATGATTTAGTAGTGAAATCAGATAACTGGAATAGATAAGTGGAATAAGCTGAAAATTTAAAAAAATTAGAGCAGAAAAAAGTAGTTAACATAACTAGTTACTATAAGAGTACCACAAATATACTTGTAGTTCTTGAATAGGAATTGATGAAAATATTTGATGAATTATTTTTCATATTATTCTATTCAATAAGTAAATCAGTTTTCAAATTCCTATTTCAACAAATCTGTTGAAATGATGCTGTAAACTAAATTATATTTAAACCAAAATTATTATTATTTTTTTTTTTTTAAGAAAAAGAAACCAAACCAAAAATAGTTTTTTTTCAAACCAAAAATATTTTTTTTTACAAATATATTTTTTCACGTTTTTTTCCAGATTTCACATTCATTAAATCGAAGAATTCAAAGAAAATTCAGTGAATTAAATTCTATTGGAACTAATTTATTTGTACAATTCAAAAAAAAAAACACATCAATTAGCATAATTTCATAAGAAAATATGAAAAAATTAAAGAAATATACAAATAGTCATATTTTGCTAATAAATTTCTACAAATATTTTGTATTACAATTTTTAAGTTTACTCATAATTATGAAATCAAATCTCATTTTTTACCCTAAGTATACCTAAACTTATCTATAGTTATGAAATTAAGCATTTTTTCATCTTAAGTATACCTAAGTTTATTTGTGGTTCTGGAATTATGCTTCATTTTTTTACCTTAAGTATACCAAGTTTATTTATGGTTATGAAATTAAACTTTATTTTTTAACCTTAAGTATACCTAAGTTTATTTATGGTCCTGAAATTAAGCTTCATTTTTTCACCTTAACTATACCTAAGTTTATCTATAGTTATGAAATTAAGCTTTACTTTTTTACCTTAAGTATACCTAAGTTTATTTATGATTATGAAATTAAGCTTTACTTTTTTACCTTAAGTATACCTAAGTTTATCTATAGTTATGAAATTAAGCTTTACTTTTTTTTTTACCTCAACTATATTTAAGTTTTACCTATAATTATGAAGCAATCGTTTAGTTCTTTACCTTAACCATAACCTATAACTTATTATTTGAGCAATCAAAAATATTCAGAGAAACAATCAAAATAATATCAACAATATACATACTGAGTGTCATAATTTCATCAATAATCCTTTTTTTTTTTTGTAAATGAAATATCAAAATATTTTTTGGAAATTGCAAAAACATGGCAGATTACATTTTGCTTTTTTCAACAACAATTTGATAGGACTAATTTAATTCTGTTCAAAAATATTTGTTAACAAAAATTTTTCACAACATGTAATTTAACATTTAAATAATTTATTATTCAAAAATTATCAAATTTGATTAATATTTTCAAAAAGTTACGAAAAATGGAAGAAATTGATAAGTGATTGATAAGAAATAAAAACATATCAACACTGATAATTTGTTAAAAGTAGGAAGAAATTACACAATACACTATGCCAACATTTTTCTTTCTTTTTCTTTGTTTCATACTTTAATTCTTTTTGACATCAACAATTTTACCTTTAATTTATCCATTTATTATCATTAATGTTTACTTTAAAATACTTTTTAAAAATTTAATCAAATACATTTCAAGTTTTCAACTTTTTTTTTCCTTGCATTTAGTTGCATCGACTTTTTTTTTATAACTTACAAAAATTATTAAATGGAATTATTCATAAATTTTAATTTAATAAATCGATAAATAAAGTTTAAAACGCGATAAAAACTTGCAAAATTCATAAAATATTTTATAAAAAATAATCGTAAAACATTTCGTAAAAAAAAAAATCGTGAAAAGGAGTAATTCGTGCAAAAAAGAAATGAAATTCGTAAAATATTTTGAGTTTTTTCGATCATTTAATTTTACAGTCTTAATTAATGAATATTAATGAAGTAATTAATTATGTGTTCCTGTCAAAGTGTTGTTATTTCAATTTTTGATTAATTTAAATTATACAAGTTCTTTGGTCGTCTAAACTGACAGTTACATTTTCATTTCCATTCAACTTATTTTATTATTTTTTGCTAATCAATTATCATTTTTAAATTCCATCTTTTTTTTTTATTTTGATGAACACGTTTCATTCCATTCTGTTACTTCTTTTTTAAATTTTCCTTTTCCTTTGACTTTTTTTTGACATTTGCAGTACAGAAAGTATCACCTGTTCTTTGTCCATCAGAAATTATCACTGTTCTTTGATGCATCAAGTCCATTTCAATTTGCTTTTTTTTTTATCATTTCTTACAAATGATACGAATGATAATCATTTGATGAATGATATACTTGAAGATATATTTGAAATGATATACGGACGATATACTATGACATACTTGATATACATATATTTGAATTAAAGTTTGATTACAGGGAACTTCCAAATATATTATAATTTGTATGAATCAAGAAGCTATCGTATATTTGCTACAAAGAATTACAAAATAATAAATAAATGGACTTTGTAAATAGAAGTCCGGAAAATATATCAAATGTTCAACGGAATGATTATGATTAGTCTTTCTTTTCTCGAAAATTTTTTTGCTGGTTTGATCTTAATGATGTAATATTTGAAAATAACAATAATTTCCAATCAACCTCATGAAATCTTATCTCACTTTGATGAGAAATTTTGAGCTCATTAAGTTAATCAAAAATGCGTTATGTAAACTACTCATTACAAGGAATTATAATTTTAGTTGACTTAATAGTCTAGATATGTCCATTATCACAAAGCGGAAGGCCTCTATGGTTGAATAAAGGATTGAATTCTTAAAGTTTTAATCTTCACCTTTCTGCATGGGTCTAACAGGTGGTACAGTAAAGTTCCCAAATAATATTATGGAATTTACAACACTCTGCATTAAAATATGAAATTAGCCATTTTTTTAATTTTTTTTTCCTTTTCTTCATTGTTAATGAAAAAAATCAAAAAAAGAAAAGTTTATTTGTCACGTTGTATTTAAAAGAAAAATCAGAATTTGAAATCCATACGAGGCAGCGAATAACTTATTTAAGAGTGTGATAAAAACATGGTAAATGATAACAACAAACAAACATAACATATGCATATTCGATATACAGAAAACAACATATGCATAGACGAAATATAGAAAACATGATAATACTCAAAAAACGAAAAATTAATGCTTTTTCCTCTCACTCTTATCTTACCTATGCTCACGCCAGATTACATAAAGCCAGATAATTAAAAATATTTTATTCCAAAACTCCATTCTACAGCAGTTGGTTTTGATTCAAATGAACTGTTGATCTCAATTGAATTATTTCTCAAAATAAAATCAGGATCCGCAAGTCATTGCCCAAGTACGATTAATAAAGGTATATTTTATGATTGCAGGGCCCTATAGATAAATAAATCATAGAATTATTTACTAATTCAGCCAACATAACCGCAAAAATCAACGAAGAAAATCCACTTCAAATGCATTGCAATCTTTTGGTGGAGTTGTCATACATTCTATTTAAGCCTCCTGGTTAGTTACTTAGGGGGACTTTTCAATTAAGGTTCTTTCATTGGAACTTTTTTGCTGGAAATTTTCAAAAGTTTTGGTTGCAGCTTCCGTTTCGTCATCGTCGTCATCCTCAATAAGATCAACATCTTCTACATCCTTTTCCGAATCAGAATCGGATCCAGTATAATTACTGGCAGCATTTCGCAATAAATTACTGTAAGCTGCCAGAAATGGTTCGATTTCATTTGGTACCAATGAAGCCATAGCGCGCTGAAAAGCCGTATCAAAGACCATGACAAAGTTCACAAGCTACGTCCAACGAAAAAATTTTTTAAATAACTAATACTGACATAACTAACTTGTAGTCAGCAAAAAAAAGTGTCCACAGAATTGATGTAGTCGATCTAAACAACGGCGCTTGGAGCAGTATATACAAAATATCGACATACAAGATAAACAAGATATCGGCAACGACCCGGATGATGTTTCTATCAGTTATTACGCCACTTTAATTTAAAGCTTACCCTATGAATTGTTTGCAAAGTGAGTGGGTCATATTTCAGCATAAAGCTCGCATATTCAATCCAACACTCGTGCGTTCGTTTTCCAAATTCCACAGTCATTAACTCATAAGCTTGTGCGATCAATCCGACTGACATTTGCATTGATTCCAATTCATGTTTGATAAATGTTCGATGAACATCAATACTTGAAAAATTTTGTTAAAAACTATGTTGGAATAGATGAATAGGGATAAAAAGGATTTTCCTTCATTCTTAGACTGTTAAAAATCTTGGAAAGAAAAGGATGAAGATAAAAAATTGTCCAAAATGCGCTATCACATCGACTAGATGCCTTTTTTCTCAAAAATTTAATTAGAAGCATACAAACCATTAGGTAGTACTTCAAAACTTCACAACTCATGGTGGTTTGCCCGATAGATTACACATAAAAAATATAGTAAGCTACAGTGACCGAACCGAAATATTGGAGAATTACCTATTCGGAGGATGTTTCGCAAATAGGAAATATTCTTCCCTGAGTTTATTGGGCTTGTCATGGTAAACAGATGCCAGGTAACTGAAAATGATTTCTAATCATTTGATGAAAAATTCCAACTATCAAAAAGTACATACTCAAATGAAGCTGTTTTAGTAAAACTGTTGTAGCTTTGAAGCATTCTTTCCTTGAAATTGTTAATCTCCCGACCACTTATTTTGATCTACCTGTCGTTCAGTGTCACTAAATTTTAACATTATTTGAAAAGACAAAGGACAAAAGATTGTCCAATACCTCTTCGAAATATGAGCTATATGAAAAAGAAATAGGGCCAACAATCTCTTGGGGTGTCAGGGAATTGAATTACAAGATAAAAATTAGGTACTTCAAGCGAACACATCGCATTTCACACGCAATTTTCGGTGCTGTACGAAAAGCAGCTCGTCTGAAAAAATCATCCACATCACCTTCTGAATATTGATGCGCCCAATCAATCGCTACTCTGTACAAGCCAGCAAGACCATGACTTTCATCATATGCCTTAAAATTGTTAACACTATGCGACATATGTATACAACTAATATTTAAAAAGGATCACCAATGCTTTTCCTGTATACAGCAAACTCGTTTGCAACCTCAAAAATGACACCTCTACGAATCGGACACCAATTCACATTCACAATTTCGAAAAAGATTGATGATTCCATCCAATATGACTCATCGAGAGATGTTAGGGATATAGAAAAAGCAGGGAGTTGAGGTGGTAGAAGTGAAAAGAAAAAATTTTAGTGACGAGAAAAATTCAGAGCATCAACATAGAGTGTCTTTTTGAGAAGCCCTAGCATCGCCTAAAAATATCATTTTTCAGAAAACCTTAAGATATTTTTTTAAATTTATCTCCCAAAAGAAAGGAAAAATTTAATAATCTGAAAAAGCATACTTCTCGTGTTGCTTTATTGAACAATTTACGTATCGCTTCAATATCTGTCGGGTTAAACTTTATTTTGCATTGCAGTAACATCATCCATAAAAATGCATTCCCCGGATTGTTTTTCACTGCTTCATTCAAAACTTTCTCCTTTTCTTCAGGATTTTCTACCAGTAGATTGAACTTTCTAACATCCATACTTGTCCCATATCCCCTACTGATCAACCAGAAAAGCTGTTCACGAAACTTCTCTTTTGCATCCGGATCACCTTAAAGTATGACTTTAGTCTACCATTAATATTCAGTGACATTAGCAATCTTGTCGGCTCATTAACAAAACATTAACAACTTGTTATGTTCCATTAACAAAACACTTGCTGGCCACAGATCACATAGATTACCATAGGCGAGCGTGACGGTTGTGAACAAGATTGGACCGAAATCTTGTTTTGTAGGGGGGGGCGAAATCACAAATTTTTATATGAATACATGATCTGGTTGGTCTGAAATGCTGACTCTCTCTGGGAGATGTGTCTGAGCCGAAAAAAATATTCTTGTGCCACATATTTTAAAAAATAAAATTCACTGTTGCAATATACACTGAATTTAAAAAAAAAGCTGCAATGCTATTCATGTCCAAAAGAAATGACATTGCTAACTAACGATCATATGAATAATGTCTTTGGCAATGAGTTAAATAATGTCGATGCATCCTTTCAGTTGGTATATCCTCACAAGCTTTATCCAGCAACTCGTAGAGAGAATATTGATCCTGAAAAAAGAGCTTTGTTCACTCGACCCTGGAACATGTATAAAATAAAATCGACTTTATCATTATAAGATTATCACTATAACAGAATATTACTTGCAAAGCAAGGTAATACTACCACATAAGTAAGGTTTATCCTGAACACTAAACACATCAAGTTACAATTCCAAAACATTATTTCGACTTCACTACGGACTTCTTGCTATTTGTTCTTTTTGTTAAGCGAAGTTCCAAATGCATAAGATAGAGTAAGGAAGAAATGAAAGTCAGTATATCAAACTTCAATTTTTCATCAAACGAAAGCACCGATGTTGGAGCCTTCGACTGAACCTACGTAATTCATTAATTCTGATTTTGCGATCCAACTTTCTTCGCTTTTGTACTTCGGAGTCCATAACATATCATACAATTTTTCTGCCAAACGATGGGCCACCAAACCGTATCTTTTCGCAGTTCTCCAGAAATTTAGCAGCAATGCTGTAATGTTAGGTTGATTGTATAGCCTCCCTCTGAGTATAATATCCTATATATAGCTATCAATTAAAATTATGATCATGCAACATAAAGAGAACATACGGAAAACTGATTTACTAATCGCAAACTAGATTTCCCGCGAAATTAACATAGGCAATCAAAGAGTCAGTTGAAATCTAGAAAATAACACATGTTTAGACAAATCTAATGATTTCTGCCTAATCACTTAAAATATATAGAAAAGAGATTAACCACTTTGCCCTGAACCGCAGCATTTCAAGGCTTCATTAGTGATCGTTTCAACGACTCGAAGACCCAATACTGCATCCTGTCCACTTTTTTCATTTATATCTACCTTCATTGCCCGATTTTTTTGGGCTTCAGTTGCAACTTGTAGTTCCTTTTCTTCGGTACATGGTAAATGATACCCTTTCCCGGTCAATATACTTTTTCGAGTAATCAACCTGAATGCATTTTGTTGAGTAAACCTCCAAGATATGCTTCCAATCGATAAAATCAATGGTGTAAGAAGGTATTAATACGTCCAAGAAAAAATTCATACGTCAACTATTATGATATTCTGTTCAATCTTTTCACTTCCTTAATTATGTCATTACTTTGTAAATCAATTTTTCCAGTCACTCCTACACAGCAAAAATGGGATTTTCGAAAAAAAGAATTCCGAAAAAAATGGAATTTTCGAAAAACTAACCATTTAACATGATCTAATTCCAAGTGAACAAAATTAGTCCATAAATTGCATTCCGTAGGGTTTAAACGTATTCCCTCTTGCATTATACAACGTGCACACTCTATCCTATGCTCGACTGAGTATTCAAATCGGGCCGCATGAATTCGTAAAGTGGAATCTCTTGGAAAGATCTGGAAACAACACTCCATAAACGATAATTTATCTGATGTCATATTCCAAACTTAACGATAATTTATCTGATGCCATATTCCAAATTTAAGTTTAATTAAGACCACATAAATACGCAATTACTTTAAGATGTAAACTGTAAGCAATCCAAACATAACTCTGATCAGTACTTTACGCAAATCTTTTCGCGATCGCGACTTCACACCTAATTTTAACATGACATTATTGAACTGAATACATTTCACCATCCGTTTTCTAACTAACACTTGTCAGTAATTAAAAGGGATTTCGTTTAAGAATTTACCTGCAATGCACGCAAATACGCTTTACTGCATCGGATGTACATTTTTTTCTTCTTCAAAAACTCGATTAAATCAAACCAACCCTCTATTCTTCCCTGCAATTAGATGATGAAAAGAACCTAACACTAATAAGAGTCAACAGGTTTTCTGCAACATCTGTCCCGCATTTCATTGAAAATATGAAAACAGGCATGAAACATTACAGATACACCTATATGGTAAACATTTCCCATAAAAATTAGCTCCTGTTACAGATTATTTGTGGAATCTACGAATGTGGATGAATTGGAAAAAAAAAGTAGAAAGAAATACCCGGAAACGTTCACAACATTCCCAAAGCAGGTTGGCAACCTTGACACACATCTTGCCTTCAATTTCATCCTCCCTCAACCTGTATTTGATTCTTTTCCGTCGCATCCGAATAAGCTTCATAGTCGATCGCAAATAATCGGTGTATCCTTTGAACGATGATGGATCTTTATGCTGCAAAAAATGCGCACTGATTTAAACACTAAATGATATATCGCAACATCATAAAAAAATTCCATCAAGTGTTCAAAAAACAGCCTCTCCCTGGATATTTGATATGCGTCAATCTTAAATGATACTTTATGCTTTAGCGACAATGTTCCAGTATTTTCTATTATGGAATTCCCACTACTTTATCAAACCTTAACGGTATCCTCAGTATGGAAATCATTATGGTTAATGAAGCAGCATCTGCTGAGTTGCTGAAGAAAAAAGTGCTTACAGGCTTCTGAAGACGATACTCAAAAAATTGACAGCGTTTGATAAATGCATCAATTTCAGTCGGTGACAGCAACTGGACATCTCTTAACGTCTCGAAAACAGAAAGCAAACCTTCGACACCTTCTTCCACAAATTCACTCATCTTTCAACCACTGATTTGAACAAGAAAGTAATTTCTAATTATTCTAAAAAGAATTGTCGTTGAAGTTACCTGGTATAAGATAATAACAGAAAATGTGGATACGATTAAAATATACATATTGTGTAGTATGTTGAAAGAATCCCTAGTTATTCATTATAGCAAATTTCTTTTTGTGTGAATGGAACGACTTGTAAACATAACTTTACTCTATCTAGATCATTTCCGGCTAGATCTAATATTAATCATGATTCAGTCAACTCTGGATTATCAATTTAAGTAATCCTTAATAGTACTTGTTCCGCAAATTATATTTATGACTTTCCGGTAGAAACAATTTCCCGGATAAACTCAGTTATTGTTTATTAAAATATTCCATTTTAAGATTAATAGAGAGGGAACTATTTTGCACAATACCAGATAATACAAACGCGCAGATCAATAACAGCTTACCTAAAAAAGGAAGACACGATCGAACGACCAACTCCTTAACCTCAACACCATCCCTTAATGACCCCATATATCGCCATTTTTGTACCTGATGTGCTCGAAGTTAACGCGGCCCGTTGTGCTTAATTGGTCGTCCTAGTGTTTTTTTATTTTAAACTCCAAATTCAGCTTTCTTACTCATTAGTATCAATTGTAATGGGAGTATAAAAGTGTATTGAGTTTTTCATGGAAATAAACTGAATAATTAAAGAGACAAGAATAAGAAGTACCCTATGAAAGTTAAACGAAACTATGAACATGTCATGTAATTGCAAGGGATCACGGATACATTATGTAATTGTAACAGTACTCTCTGTTGAATCATTTCCATTTAATAATATTGGCGTCTTAAGTTTTAAAAGTAACTTTTAAAGAAAGATACATTATCTAGTTTCGAATTATAATTTGATTTATTATCAGCAACAGTTTTCGTGAGATTCATATTTAAATTTTCAAAAACAAATTGATTTTTTTTTTTTTACAAATTGAAATAAATTGATTATTCATTGCTTATGTTGCTAATGTTATAATGAAGATTTTAACTATTCATTTATTCATTCATCGATTATATTACCACAAGTAAATGTTGTAAATTGTTAAAATATATGAATGTATAAAGTATATATAATAGAAATTAGTTTAATTTATTGAAATTATCATTGTTGTTTTACATCAAGTAGAAATGATCTGTTAGATTAAATGATGACGTGTCAAAATAAATCTTTGATATTTTGTCATTGTTTTTCCAGATTTTGATTTCGTCTTTGTTATAAGACCTGTAACTTTGTCAGCAGTATGTATTACTTTACTGCCATTACAGTTCGTCTTTCTTCGTTTACAATCACTACGAAATGTCGAACGATTAAGCATATATTCCGAATTAGTTTCATCCGATTCTTCATAGTCTTGCTTATCGTAATCATCATCATCATCCAATAATACATCGGAATTTGATTCTGTGAATTAATATATGCAAGCATATATCGATTATTTTTATTCTTATCTAACTTCATTTAAATAATAATTGATATAATGTATGATGAAGAAAAGTAGAACGTGGAATAATCACGTTATTCTATACTGAAATATTTACTTCTACAAAAAATATCATCTTATTCCGAGATATCCTAGAGAAGGATATTCAGGAAAATTTAATAAATAATTTATTAATTCTTCAACAGAATTAACTTGCCATTAGTATTTTCTGCTTCCGAATCATCAACCGTTATTTCATTGCTAGATCCTGTTATCTTATCAAAATCTGTTTCTTCATAATCATCATCATCATAATTATCAGCAGTTACATCAGTTTCTGAATATAATTCGCTATTTTCATCACTACAGTTACTTTCGATCGATTCACTTTCCGCATCTGAATCTCCATAAGCACCATGAATAACTATTGATTTGGAGTCTGTAGTACTACTGCATTCAGTAGTTTCTACTTTCACTTCATCCTTTTTCGAATTTCCATCCGAATGATATCTCGAGTCTTGGCAAACAACTTTCTCATCCTTTGGCAGTATTGAATTACTGGTACCAGCTTCTGAAGGCAATACATTTAAATTTGTTTGTTTCGGTAGATGCTTCGCATTTTCTGGTTTGTTCGCACAGAATGGACAAAACCAGTCATCTTCCGGGATTTGTTCCAATTTTTCCGGTAAACAATAGCTATGATAGGCGACATTACAGCGAATCATGGAACCATCAGCATTTCGACCAACATTACCATCGCAAAGTAACAGTAAATGTTCATTATCTGAACGTCTACATGAACGGCAATTTGCATACTCAATGGTTACATCCACAGATTCACTATGATCTTCCAATTGTTCTCGGACAAGAAGCTTAAAAAAATTATGCAAAATTTTTGAACGAAATTTGTAAGAAAAAAATTTTAAATTAATTAATAATTAACAAACAAATACGGTATTATCTAATCACATTCTCTTCATAAAATAGGTCATAGCAAATGATCCTGATTTTTTTTCTTTTATTTTTATTTGAAATTCAATATAAAAAATTATTTCAATGATTTTAAAGAATGAATTTGAATTATTAGAACTGAAATATTTCAATAAATTTTTAAAACTAAAACTTGAAAGATTTGTTTTATTTATTAACAGCGTAGGATTATGCCCTTTTTTACTTTTCCTAATTTACTTAAATTTTCTCCTCTTTAATTGTTTGATTCTATTTGTTAAACTCTGTATTTTAGAATCTTTGCTTGAATTCCTAAGCTGGAATCCTCACCTAAAATCCTAAGCCAGAATTCTCGCATGAAATCGTAGACTAGAATCCTCACATGAACATATTGCTAAAGTATTTAGTAAATCATGCAAACGACGTATTTCATTTCGATTATTTTATATATATTAAAAAACAATAATAATAGAAACAGTAATGTGACGACTTGCAATGCTACAAAATATTTTGTAGTGATAATATTTGATAATATCATTGATAAGATTGATAGGAATGATAACCTCATTTTCAAATTGTTTTGCTGTCCGTTTTTTCACTGGTACTTTTGTTTCATTCTCATTTTCTTCAATTTTAATAAGATATTTGGGCGTTATGCCACAAAGTGGACATTGTGAACGTTTTTTAAACCAATCACTAATACATTTGAAACAAAATTTATGCTCACAATTATCAGGTTTTCCAAGTGGATATTTGAATTGATCCAAACATATGGTACAATTTGATTCCATATTTTCTTCACTCTCGTAGATTAATTAGAAAAATACTTTATCGATCTTTGAAAAATTGTCACTTACTACTGATGGGTAATTTTTACTAACAAACCTGACGCTATCAAATATACAATAATAAAATAATTGTAATTACATAATAATCGATTATTTACAATGAATTATAGCCAAAATTTACAAATATTTTATGCAAAAAATTTATTGAGAAGTTAGGAAAATTTATTAAAAAAGAAAAAATGGATTGAAATTGTAATTGTATTGTAATAACATTCCTACCAAATATTTTTATAAAATTTTTGCTTTGAAAAAAAAAAGCCTTTTTCTTCGTTTGATTTTTCCTTTCAGCTCATTTTATTTAAAACATTGTAATTGAGTTATTTTCAAGAAAAAAAAAATATATTAAAAATTAGACAGAAGAGAAGGCGAAAAAAGTTTGAATGAAAATTTATGAACTTTTAAAAAAAATTTTTGGCACAAATTAATAATTATGGTAGAAATTTGTTAAAAGTAAATAAAATTAACAGAAAAAAAAGACATTAAAATAAAATAGAGCAAAAACAAATGGGATATCCATAGAAGAAAGACAACAAAGAACTTATTTAGAGAGCATGACAATCTAAAA